GGTGTTCATTTTTTTCAGGTCTTGATGGATTTTTAGCAATGAAAGAGTCATTAAGCATAGGAACACCTCAATGGTATGATAATTATTTATTTGTGTCTCATGAGGAAACTTTTGGGTCCTTGTTTGCTTATCAATTAAAAGAAGAGAGGAAAAAATACTTTCATTAGTTTAATTTAACCTTATTTCCTTAATTTAACTTATTTAATTTTATCAAGACCAAAATAACAAGCCCCAGGAGCACAGTGGCTATTCCTCATGCTGTTGCTAAACAACAGGCCCATCGGGCAAACCCACCATCTGCTCCATGGGAGAAAGCGCTGGCAATCTGCTTCCATAAGGATTACACCTTTGGAAACTTTATAGGGTCGTTCTATACTGTCCTATGGGGTATGTTTGATTTGAAATGAACTCAACTGCACACAATAACAAGGCCAAATTAAGTCTTATTACTAGAAAAAGTAGCTTTCTTGTAAGCATATGAAAATGTGAAAACTATGCCTATAAAAGATCATAGATGGCTCGTTGGAGGGGGCCCGGAGGAGCCGCTGGCAGACACTGACTAGGTCCTCTCTCCATTAGATGGCAGATCATGGGGATCAGTAAGTGTCCAGGCAGGGAGTCAGCCAAAAGCTCTTGTTTCACACCAGTCTGATTCCAGAGTCACAGCAGTGACAATGGCTCAGACATGGGGCATACTGTGCCCAAAGCGCTAAAATTAGAACATAAAGCTTAAAGCTGGCAGCTATATTCCCCTAAATCCATTTTTAATTCTAAATAAAATACTCCTAAGAGGAGTCTGCTCTGTCATTGCCCACAGTCATGGGTTTAATTGGTGAGATGGACTTCTGCCAATATTCCCATGGGTTCTTGTGACATTTTCACAAGGTAGGCCTCTACAGCTCATTGAGATATGCTGCCCAAAGAGACAGGGTTCTCCTTATTGTAAGGTGTCATTGAGTTGGTTCCTGAACTCCCTGAGAACAGAAAGAAAAACCTCCCTGTCCTGAGCCCTCCTCCTCAGGTTCGCTCTGCTCGACCCCATTGTGCAGACACGGTGTCCCTCCTCACCTGGAGACTCTTTCTCTTCTTCACTGACCTTCTTACTTTACCAAGCATAATATCTTTTTCAACCACGGACTGGTCTCTCCTGATAATATAGCCAAAGTATGTGACAGGCAGTTCCCCATCCTCACTTCTAAGGGGTATTCTGGTTCAAGACAGATTTGTTTGTCCCTGGAAATGCACAGTAGTTTCAGTATTCTTTGCCAGAAGTATAATTCAAATGCATTACTTCTTCTTCTGCTGTCTTCCTTATTTATTGTCCCATTTTTGCATACCTATGAGGTGGTTGAAAATACCATGGATCAGCTCAGGCACACCTTAGTCCTAAGAGTGACATCTTTCACCTGTAGCCCTTTAGCCCTTTTGCCCAGTGCAATGCGTCACTTGATCGTTTAACTGCTGCTTCCATGAGCCTTGGTTGTAGTTCTAAGTAAAATAAAATCCAGAACAATTTCAATATTTTCTCATTGATCATATTGTTTCCTATTGGTCCAGTGTTTTCTTGACCTTGAGTTTCAATCCATACAGAAGGCAGTCGACTTTGATTTTTATCACAGTGCTTCAAGTCCATTAGGCTTTCAGCAGCAAAATGTGTCATCTACGTGCCGGATCTTGTTCATAACCCTTCTTCCAATCCTGATGCCACTTTCTTCTTCATAAAACCCAGCTTCTCAGAATATGTGTTCAGCATGACAATTAAATGTGGGTCTACCTGCTTAAAAATGCTGAATAGAAATTCTTTGTAGTGAATCACTCTTAATTTTTTAGAGTGTCTTTAGTCGAAGTTAATGATTATCATTAACTTTACTTCTTTTTAATTTGGTGACTAGAACTTTGCAAAGTTCCAGGGTAAATCCTTCTGAAGAACAAGGTTCAAACTAAGGGATACGAGGGAAAGCAGGAGACTGAAGCAGTGAAACTCAGGAAAATTACTAGAATCATTCTTTTTTAGTAATCATTCTCTTTGATTTCAGTTTCTCCCTCCACATGCTACTTGATTTCTCTAAATATTGTATAAAGAAATACATATGTGCAGGACATGGATAACTGATATATCAATTATCCTCCCTGTAATTTAAAGAACAGGAATGCCCAAAGCCAGAGGGAAACATGCATTTGCACCATGAACATTCGCTGTACCGCTCTTGCATAGCTGCCATTAGAAAGCCAGTAACACCTATAGACCACTTAACTAGCAACCCAAATCTAATTCAAGGATGCACACAAGCCAAGCAAATTAGTCATTGTCTGTTTCATCTGCAAAGTTCTAGGTGGCTTCAATTTAGATCAGAGAAGCTTTTGTTCCACTACAGGTATGCCTGGAGAGACAGAAGGGATTGGAAGAAAGACAAAAATATCCCAACATATGGACAGAGTTGGAACAGACAGATGGAAACCAGCTTAGTTCTTTAAAAGCAGATTGTGGAAGATAAAGACATTTGAACCAAATTCAGGGATGTAGCTTACAATTATGCCATAACTATTGGATCTTCATACCATAAAACAATTCTCTCTTCATTTTGCTGTATCTTTGGGGAGAATGAGAAGAAAATGATATGATACACATGGATGGATTTCAGGGGAGGACAGGTAACATGCATTGCTCTCCTGAGGCAGTTCTCCAAAGACCCTGGGATCAAAGCCTTTACAATCGCTCCATCAATTGTAACTTTGAATTTCACCATTGCCACCACTTCAAAAGAGACAACACTTTTCTGGGAATTATAGCTTTAGAGTAACAATTACCTTATCCATTCTTTCTTAATAACACAGAAAGCTGTTATAGTAGGACCATGGGTGTAGTAAAACACAGGTATTTGCACTTGCATGTAGAAGAAGGATCTGTGCTAAGAATGGATGATAGGCAGATGGGAAGACTCGCATTGAGACACATGTCCAGTTCACAATCTAGCCAAGGCAAACCATGCAGAAATATCCTCCCTCAGATTTTCTAAAATCTGTGAATATCAGACAGTAGAACCTCTTGCATAGGAAACAAATGGGCATTTTCCTTGGCCCCACATAACGGTTTATAACTCAAAGACAGTGCACAGGTGAAATGTTACAGATAAGAAAATGACACTGAGAGTTGAAAGATCCATAGTCATTTCGCAGGTTCAGTGGGCAGAGCCAGATGTTCCAGACACCTGAAATGTTTGCCATGAAACTCAGCCTCGTTTCTGCTACTCAAGTCATTTCACTGGGGCATGGGTGGGTGGCAAGGGGTGGGTGTCTATTCATGGGCATAGGTGTCCAAGAGAGCAAGGATAGATCTATCTGGTCATGTATCTGTTGGTATTCATAATACCTAAGAGGAAAATATGCTTTATTCTTCCAGATTTCAAGGTGGGAAAAGTGTATTTCCTAAAGGACTTGCTAGCAGGGTCATTGAAGCAAGAATCATCACATTCCAGAACTAAGTATTCTAGAATTCGCTGTGATCTTCTAGGACACATTCACTCAAATGTGTCTAAACCTACAGGTGATGTCCTAAAGAACACTCAGAAACCCCTCAGCTGCAGGCACCCAGGACCCCCGGTGCAGACTCACAGCAAGCCTACGGGACAGTAAAATGGTCCCTTCCTCGCTGAGACTGTTCGCCTCCATAGGAGCAGGCAGCATCATTGCATCCCATGGAATGGCTGGCTGGCTTGCACCACTGTCTTTACATTAGCTGCCAAAAGTTGAACTCCTAGCACCACCCGAGGCTTCTTCAGGAATAGTTAGAAGAAGTTACTTTTTTCTCTCAGTCAAAGCACTTCAAAAATGTCCATTGCCCAGGCACTGAGTTAATCTCCTTTGGAATTGAAAAGCTTCAGGAAGAAACGCAACCAGTCATAATACTCTTGCCCCTTTTCCAGCACAAAGAAGAGAGGAGGTGCTACCTGATACAGTGGGAGGGGCGACTGTCTACTGCCATCAACACTTAATGAGTGAGATGGACGTATGGAAAATTTTCCAGTAGGGGACAGGCTATCTCCCAGACAGAAACCTCAAGGATGGTGTTACCTGTTCTAGTGAAAGAACATTTTTTTTCCAAGAAAGTGGAATCAAACAAACAAAAATAATGTCATTCAAGCCAGTTTACTAGCGTCATCAGCACGTTGAAGGTGAAAAAAGGGGTTCTTCACAATGATGTACTTAAAAAAAAATTCTGCTCAAGGAAATGGACCCCTTACACTAATGATGATACCAGTCATTTAAACCATGCTTCCTTTGTTTCTCTGCTTCCCAAACTATTACCTGACCATCAAATGTTCCTGTAGTATGAGTGCCAGACAAAATACACTAAGGCGATGGTTCTCAACTTCCCTAATGCAACAACCCTTTAATATAGTTCCTCATGTTGTGGTGACTCCCCCAACCATAAAATTATTTTCGGTGTTATTTCATCGCTGTCCTTTTGCTACTGTTATGAATCGGGTGACCTCTGTGAAAGGGTCATTTGACCTCCAAAGGGGTCGCGACCCACAGGTTGAGAACCGCTGAACTAAGAGATTTTTTATTAGTTCATCTTACTCATTAAGAGCTTTATTTATCCTTAACAATCACATATTGGTTGTGTTTGTTTACCAGTGTCTTGGGGGTTGGTAATCAAGGGCCACAATACTAGGGTTGGTAATCAAGGGCCACAATACTAGGGTGGTTGACCATACTTTTATTTGAAAATTGAAAACCAGGTGTAGAAGGTAGTGATTTCATCAAGGCTCCTGAGTGGGCTTCCCATCACACCCCCCATGACGGCCACAGCTTTCTGTTTGGCAGCTAAGACCTTACACATATTGCTATCTTGCCAATACAATGCTTCTATGTATATCTAGAACTTATAAAATATGGCAGCTCAAATATCAGTTCCAAGAAGGCACACTGACAAAAAAGACATTCATTGAGGCTACTACTAGTAGCCATGTCATTAAAGTAGAAATAGAAAACGGTACCTGTCTTCTTAGATCTCTTGTTTTCTTGGTCATCTTATCAATCGCAATGTTTAGAGGATCTCCTTTTTCTTTCCTTCCAGTCTGTTAAGAGAAAAGACATAATTTCTGGTTTATAAAATGAAATTGTAGACACATTAAAAGTCAGGGAAAAATTCAGAAACATTCTTATGTGGTACAGTCCCATAAAAGTTATTATTTTGAACACAGTGAAGATGATTTTGTCAATAGCATTGCTTTTCCCCAAAATAAAAATTAAAATGGATGAAAATCAATACACTTAGGAAAGCTACAAATATGTCCAAATTCAACTCCATACAAATCTTTTTTCTCCTTTTCCAGACATTTAGCTATTAAGAAAATATATCAAGGACACTTTGTTTTTGCCTTCAGATGAAAAAAGTTTCATCCTTCTTTATTATGTAAGCAAAGCTCTACTGAATAAAAGATGACTTAAAAAATCCAAACAACCAAATGCAAAACAAGTTTAAGGTAAATCTCCATAATTTGGAATTTTACATCAGATGTTGTATTGCAGCCTCAGTGCCAGAATCAGAAGAGATGCTTTCCTGGGAAATCCTGTGCCTCTAATCTCTATTCTCTTGTGCAGTGGAATGCTGAACATGATAATAAGCAACTCAGATTCAAAATCATGAAGAAAATTTCCCTATGACTGAAAAAGAGATATAGGGAAATATCTTTAATAAATATATTAGAAATTGCTAAATTCATTAGGAAAGTTCACTAAATAATTCTTATTGTTCTTTTCTCTCATGCACTCTCTTTTATGTTGGATGCAGGGGGAAAATCAAACGAAACACGCTATCTATTGCCTTTTTTAAAAACAACCAAAGATTTCCATAGATGTGCAAAAACAACAAGCTTCACATAAAGGTGTAGATGGCATGATTTCCTTTAAGGAAAAAGTGTTTCAGAAGCTTTCTCCAATCTATTCAAAACTCAAACTCACTGCCATTGACTCGATTTCAACTCCAAGCAAACATATAGGACAGAGTAGAACTGTCCCTGTGGATTCCGGGACTGTAACTCTTTATGGGAGGTGAAACCCTCATCTTTCTCCCATTGCATGTCTGGTGGTTTTGAAGGGTTGACCTTCTGAGAGCAGGCCAACTCATAACCACTATATCCCCAGGGTTCCTTCTCTCACCTATGAAAACATCTGAATTTTAGTCAGGTACTTCACAGATGTATTTATTTTTGGTCCTATGACAAGGCCATTCACGTTCCACACCACTTCTGAAAAATCTTGAAAGTCTCCATAAACTCAAAAAATAGCAAACACACTGTCAACAACCCAATTCATACTCATAGTGCCCCTATGTGGTCTTTTCAAAATGGCAGCAAACAACCTCATCTTTCTCCTACAGAGCAGCTAGTAGGTTTGAACTGCTGACTTTGTGGTTAACAGTCCGACACTTACGCCGCAGTATCCCCAGAGCTCCCTCAATTCTTCATAACAACCCGTACATGTGGGGAAAGGAAATCACAGGTCATCAGTTGAGCTTACTGGAATGTGATGACCCAGGGACCCATAGGCCCTTCCAAATAAGTTTGCAATTGCTATATTTCAGTGATACAAATCTGGATAGGTAAATTCCATACACATCAGCTCTATCGAATGAGTTTAAAGCAATCACCCTCTACAACTCTTGCTTGATTAATCAAATTTTGTAAGTATCTGATGCATATTTCTATAGTGTTTTCATTTAAAGCCCAAACAAGATCTTGTATGTGCATATTTTTAATAATATAAACTTCTTCAAATCCCCATCATCATTTTGTAGGCCCGAAACTTACCCACTAGTCATTTAAATTTATACACAGAGGCTTAAGTGGACATGCTTAAAAGACTGTGGCTAGTATTTTACAGCTTTGAAATATCGATACTCAAAAAATTCAATGAAAACAAAATCTAAGTATTTGGAGAACCCCATAGAGATTCGTCTGTAGGGGGAGATTTGATTGAGGAACATGCATGCTTGTGTGTGAGCAGTTTTCCATAGTCAGGTGTGCCCCAGAGGAGCAGCCATAGTCAGGTGTGCCCCAGAGGAGTAGCCATGCGATCCCTGTCCTCGTTGACTTTCTCATGTGGTTACCTCATGGGGAAGGTAGCATGGACACTGCATTTTCCAGCATCAATAAGTTATACCTAAAAAGGGGCATAACTCTTAAATATGAAGTATCTTGTCAGGCAATGCAGGGGACACACAAGAGGTGAGATTAACACTCCTCAGCCTCCAGGAGTCCAGGTAAATAGACCAGAAGAGAAGGTTAATTAAAAGAACACAGGGTGTGAGAGACTAGCAGGCTCAAGGGCTCCCTGAAAAGGCTTAGAACGGGGAGAAGATGTTGCGTGAGAAATTGAGGAAATGTCACAGGGCTGGGTGGAGGAATTTAGTTGGACCTTAAACCCTGAATAAAATTTAATGGGGGTTGGGGAAAGTCACTTGAAAGATTGGATTAGTGGCAGAAAAATCCCAAGATTGGAAATTCAACGGTGGGTGTTTGGAGGGGAGTATAGTCCAAATAAGTCTGACTAGCTTTAGAGGCAAATTATTTCTAGAAGAGCTTCGTTATTGCGTGATTACTGCTGAGTACATTTTGATCGGTGCACCCAGGAGATCTCTGGTGACATTAGCATTCCATAGCACTGTGTTAGCAGGATTCTATTTGTGGGATAGCTGTGAGCCTCGGTTTTTCTAGATTCTAAGTCTTGGACTGAAGGCAACCCAGAAATGCAGTCAACTCGGGTGCCATATTTATGTTCACTGAAAGGTAGGCTGAAGGGTATTCAAGTTAGATCTGGAGTTTAGGAACATTGGGCCCTTTAGAATCCTTTTAAAATTCAAATTTCTTTTTAATAAGGTATGTGTACAGGAAAAAATATAGTAGCCTATCAATACTTAGATTTCCACTCACATGTTCCTGTGCATTTTGATGTCACATGCAGAAGTCATTTAAAATTACCAGCCTGAAAGGCCAACAAACAGTCCTTGAACTAACTACAAGCTTCTCTTTCTTGTTGTGTTTTGTTTTGTTTTTTTGTTGTTGATGTTTTGTTATATATTGTTGCTTGGTTTTGCTCTGTCTTGTTTTGTGCATGTTATTATCTCCGCAGGTCTGTCTAAATAAGATAGGCTGGATGAACAATCTGGAGGAGAAAACAAGGAGACCGACAGTTCCGCGGGGACATGGGCAAGGAGGAGGAGCGGGGAAAGGTAATAGTGCTAACAAACTCAGGGACAATGAAACAACAAGTGATCCAAATTGGTGGTGAGGAAGGTGTGGGAGGCCTGGTAGGGCATGATCATGGGTAATGTAACCAAGAGGAATTGCTGCAACCCAGGTGGGGACTGAGCATGATAGTGGGACAAGAGGAAAGTCAAAGGAAATAGAGGAAAGAGCTGAGAGGCAAAGGGCATTTATAGAGGTCTAGATAAAGGCATGTACATATGCAAATATATTTATATATGAGGATGGGGAAATAGATCTATGTGTATAGGTTTAGTATTAAGGTAGCAGAGGACATTGGGCCTCCACTCAAGTACTCCCTCAATGCAAGAATATTTTCTTCTATTAAATTGGCATTCTATGATATTCACCTTCCCGACACAACCACTGAAGACAAAGCGGTGAATAAGCAAATGTGGTGAAGAAAGCTGATGGTGTCCGGTTATCAAAAGATATAGCATCTGGGGTCTTAAAGGCTTGAAGGTAAGCAAGCGGCCATCTACCTCAGAAGCAACAGAGTCCACATGGAAGAAGCACACCAGCCTGTGCGATCATGAGGTGCCGAAGGGATCAGGTATCAAGCATCAAAGAACAAAAAAATTACACTATTGTGTGCTCACTTCTATGATACAATCGCTGAAGACAAATGAGTGCATAAGCAAATGTGTTGAAGAAAGCTGATGGTGCCCGGCTATCAAAAGATATAATGTCTGGGGTCTTAAGGACTTGAAGATAAACAAGCGGCCATCTAGCTCAGAAGCAACAAAGCCCACATGGAAGAAGCACACCAGCCTTTGTGCTCACAAGGTGTGAAAGGGATCAGGAATCAGGCATCATCAAAACAAAAAATCTTACCACAGTGAATGAGGTGGGGAGTGCAGAGTGGAGACCCAAAGCCCATTTGTAGGCCACTGAACATCCCCTTACAGAAGGGTCTCGGGGAGGAGACGAGCCAGTCAGGGTACGATGTAGCAACAATGAAACATACAACTTTCCTCTAGTTCCTAAATGCTTCCTCCTCCCCTACTATTATAATCTCAGTTCTACCTTACAAATCTGGCTAGACCAGAGGAGGGACACTGGTACAGATAGGAACTGGAAATACAGGGAATTCAAGGGGGATGATCCCTTCAGGACCAGTGGTGTGAGTGGTGATACTGTGAGGGTAGGGGGAGGGTGGGTTGGAAAGGGGGAACCGATTACAAGGATCTACATGTGACCTCCTCTCTGGGGGACGGGCAACTGAAAAATGGGTGAAGGGAGACATCGGACAGGGCAAGATATGACAAAATGATAATTTATAAATTATCAAGGGTTCATGAGGGAGTGGGGAGTGGGGAGGGAGGGGAAAAATGAGGAGCTGATGCCAGGGACTTAGGTGGAGAGGAAATGTTTTGAGAATGATGAGAGCAATGAATGCACAAATGTGCTTTACACAATTGATGTATGTATGGATTGTGAGAAGAGTTATATGAGCCCCTAATAAAACGATTTAAAAATATGACCAGTTTGAATGGGATAGGACGCCAATCCCAGAGAGAGAGAAGCCTTGCCTCCTAGTGTCAGTTTCCCATCATTAGGCTCTCTGCTCTTTGGGTAATGATTTGCCCCATTTTTTATGTCTGAGTTTCCTCATAAGCAGACTGAATAGCATAACATACGCCTAGTCTTCTTTGCAAGGCCTGCAAGAAAATCAATCATGATGCCATTTTGCCAGAAACAGTAAAAGGCATTAACAGTGTTCAGGGTAATTAGGTGTGTTTGCCATACAAGGAATGAAATCCTTTATTTGGAAACTACATAGATAGTAGTTTTGATCACCTGTACTTCAT